CGTGTATCGATACGACTTTTCAAGTATATCCGCTGGAACTTATTTTGACTCACCAACATAGGGACGACTGACAGAAAAATTAGTAGGGCCGAGACCCTGAGGCTATAATTATGTTAATACAGCTGATACTACCTGACATAGACATACCTGTGAACACTGAGAGGTCGCAAATCGGGAGACTTTATGTGGAGGCTGTTTGTTTTGAATTTCGCGCAAAGCTACACGAGTGCTATTTGCGATAGCCGTCCCTAATTTAACAGTGAAAGACTAGAGAGAAGGCAGCTAGTGATCATCACCCACCGCCAACTCTTGGGCTGCTCTTATACTAACGAATAGTAGGATTGACCACCAAATTATAACGCCCCTACGGCTGAAAGGGTGAGCATGTTTGGTGGGACAGGGATTCGAACCTACGACCCTCAGATTACGAATCGAGTGACCTAACCACCTGGTCATGCCGGGCCTTTGTGGAGACACTACAACAGCGAGTACGTACCCTGGGGTGAGGAAGGTCATGCTGAACCAGAAAATTTAGAAAAAAGGTGCACTTTTATGTATTCAGGGGATCTTCAGATATTTATTTACACTTATAAGATTGAAGTGATGTTTTCACTTACAGTGGGCTTATATAATAATATAATCACAGTCATTTGCTAATATTGTAATACACTTGTATTGTAAGAATTAAAAAAAAACACACACATATCCTGATTAGTGTTCTTTGTTATATTCGTATGCTACACTTTTGGCATCTTTCAGTACCTGCTTGCTGGGCTTGTATTTACTGGCTGAGGAATCTGTGTTAAACTTGCAGTTTAAAATGGCACATACTGTGTCGTGCCCTAAATCAGTCCTGTTCTCTGTTACGATCTTTCTCAATTCAGTGGAATGTGGTACAACAAACAGACAGTATAACACAACAAAGTATAACAAGGTTCCACAATAAATATTTACTTTATCCTGGATGGTGAAGTTGAATAAATGCGACTCTATTCTTTTTGTTAAATTATTAAAAAGGTTGATATCGGGAGATCGGGAAGCAGGACTCCATATCGGGAAAGTTGACAGACTTGCATAGATCGTATACAAGTACAAAACACCTACAACGTTATATACAGTAGGTTAGTCAGTAGCACTGGGACAGTTTAACCAGGTTATCACCTCACTGGCCCATTCTGCCCCTGCCTGTCTTATATATTAGAACGATTACTGTGTCTTTTAATTTGAAATATACGCTCACTAGAATTTAAATTAATAACGTGTTAAATTATTTAGTGAAAATAATGCGAAGCCCACTCCATCTAACAATAAGTTATTTCTTAACTTTTGCCACAGGATGCTATCACCTGAACGCAGTTGTAGGCCTAAGTTCATAAATAACGCTTTCACTTTCAACAAAAATGTAGTCGCCAATGGTACTGTGACTAACACGAAAATAAACGCGTACAATTTGAGAGCTAATCGATCAAGTAACTGAATATACATGATAACGAACACTAATCTTAATTCTTCAATAACTTCTCAATCACTGAAATAAATGAAACTAACTCCATGCTTTACTGTTTCTTGAACTTATAATGTATCCTTGTTTTTTAGATATTTCGCAAAATCTATTGATTATTGACATTCACGAAAATTCTGTTAGGACATTTATAAACGTTCTAAATCTAGTATATCATGTCAGCAGCTCCCTGTAGCCAACAACTAAAATAAAACATTTAAAATATAGCTTACAACATTAAGTTCTAACGGGTTCGATATAATTATAAGATGATGACAAACTCGCAATGCATAGGCAAAGCTATACACTGGGCATGGACAATATGTGCTCTGTCAAACTAGAGGAATCGGACCCCAGATTTTAGCGTCTAGTATGTATATATATATATATTAAACAACCAAGAAGAATATTTAACTTTAACCAATTAAACTTAATATTCTATAAACCACAATATACTTGCCATATCCATTTCCATCGATCGAATGTTCTTCCGACCGTCTGGGATACAACAAGGCACAATAATATTTATATAAGGAATTCGATACAATTACAATATTATGGTGTGTACGCCTTTTACAAGTCTTTTTTTTGGGGGGGGGGCGATATGGCAAATATAGTGAGGTTGGAAT